TTATGCTTATTAAAGAGAGAGGGAAAATGGATCCCTCCCTCTCCTTTCTCTTCCTTACCTCAATCCTTTACCCAAACAAGAGAGTTTGTCCCTCTCCGTTTCTCTTCCTTCCATTTCCTTCGATCCAAACAAAGTGTTAATTATTTTTATTGGAATCCTTTTTAAAATAATATCGACATTATTAGTAAAAAAAAAAAAAAAAAAAAAGAAAAAAAGAAGAAACTTATCTATACAATAATGGAAGCCAAAGATGCACCGTTGCTATGAATGTAAGATGTGCAACTCTTTTACAATCTCTAATACTGTGTATGTAGTATTTTGAAAATTAAATGTACTTTGTAATTTTAACTTTTGAATAAAAGAAATTTGATTACTCTAGTCAAAATTAAGTTAATTGAAATGACAAAGCTTTAATAAACCCCACATCCTTTAAATTCAAGAATAAATACTTTATAAAACTATAAGATGAGAATAACATGTCTTAGTCACTTAAATGTTAAGCATTATCCATTGCTACCACCATCTTTTTTGAAAGATAGGGTACATTATTATATAATTTATTTATATAAATATAAAAAGATAGGAAATTTTAAAGTATTATCTATATATGTGATATGGTTCTACATAATATGTGAACATATCAATCATCATCTCTCACAATATTTCAATTCTATATCGATTGTGTAATAGTAATTGACAATCAAAATACTTGTACTCGTACCACGTTATTCACAAGTAACCCTATTATTTATTGAGCATGTATTGTGTCCCGCCAATTTACTTTTGTTAATAGACGAATATTCCAATTTAAACTTGATATAGGAAAGGAAGGGGCCAAAAAGGAGAGTAAAACTGAATCGTAAACCCCACCCCTATAGAGACGGTGCATGTTCACGAATTCACGAGACAAATGTTTAGTTGTTTACCAATTAACTACCACATACTACTTGATACTATGTTACAAATATAGACAATATGTTCTTTGTACTATCTTCTAACAATTATTTGACACCAAAAGGCTACTAAACTAGTACTAGTAATATAAGTGTAGTACTATTATTCCATTTAAGATGAGTAACTTTAAGAAAATGTTTCTAGACTTTAATTTGTAACAAAACAATTGAAATACAAGTTGACATAAAAATCCAATAATGTATTATGCAGGTAGTATCAAGTGAAGCAAGGGCAATGTACAATGTAGGGTTAGCAGGATTGACATATTGGTCACCAAATGTGAACATTTTTAGGGACCCAAGATGGGGAAGAGGCCAAGAAACTCCAGGAGAGGACCCACTTCTTGCTAGTAAATATGGTTCTAATTATGTTAAAGGTTTACAACAATCTGATGATCCTGATCCTAACAAGCTTAAGGTTGCTGCTTGTTGTAAGCATTACACTGCCTATGATGTTGACAATTGGAAAGGTGTCGATCGTTATACATTTAACGCCGTGGTAATTTTTCATCTATCTTCTATCTTAATTACGTAGTTCAACTGCTGTATATAAAAGTTCTTAATGTTTGGATAGTGAATGTCTTAAAACAGGATGCATTTTTTAAGACAAAGGGGGGAATATTTTTCTTGCATTATTGCTGTTTTTGGAAGTTCAACTATATTTGCAACTTTACTAGTTTGAATATTTAATGGGTTCAACTATATTTACTTTATTTATTGGGTTGAATATTGGAAATTATTAAAGTAATGTCTTAAGGGGCAATAATAATGCCCATAATTTAGGTGGATTGATGTAAATGCATCTAAAACATGAAAAAGAAGGTTTAAATGCATGAGGAAAATAAAAAACACAGTGTATAGTTTGAATATCTACCTCGTTTGACTCACACGGGATTAGATGATGCTAAATTTCAAAAGTCAAGAGTTATTACCATTATGTACAAAATTTAGTTACCATTAATTACTCCGTAGAAACTTCTGAAGAGAAAAATTATGGTTTGCCACATTATGTTCTCTTGCCAATGCTCAAATTTGGATCTATTTACAAGCAATAAGGATTTTAACATGACTATTCGAGAAGGGAAAGGATAAGTAATAAACAACTTGAAAAGACCTTTCATATTTTATAATGAATTGATTCATGGATGTATCAGTTAAAAGAACTAAGTCAAATTAATTGCCTAACACTCTAACAATTAGACAACTAATAAGCTGTGAAAGTCTATCACGTCCCTACTCTCCCTTCTTTAACTAATACAATAGGTAAAAAAGTTTGGAGTAAAAGTTTAATCCTCAATTTATTCCATCCAATTATTTGATTATACTAATATGAATGCCTCATAGGTGTCACAACAAGATTTAGATGATACATTTCAACCTCCATTCAAGAGTTGTGTTGTTGATGGGAATGTTGCTAGTGTTATGTGCTCCTACAACCAAGTTAATGGCAAGCCTACTTGTGCTGATTCAGACCTTCTTTCGGGAGTTATCAGAGGAGACTGGAAATTAAACGGGTAGCTTAATCATCTCTTAAACTGGAAAGTCTTACACATGTAATTCGACATAGTCATACTTGAACTTTCGTCCATGGATTTTGCAGCTACATTGTTACAGATTGTGACTCAATAGACGTTTTGTTCAAATCTCAACACTACACCAAAACCCCAGAAGAAGCCGTGGCTCAGTCCATATTAGCTGGTGAATTTTTTTTGTCATTCAAAGCTCTAATTTTGGTTAAATGCAATGTCTAAGAAGCTCACCGACTAACCAAAAAATCTGAACAGGGGTGAACCTTGATTGTGGGTACTTCCTTTCCCAGCACACACAGGGTGCAGTAGATAAAGGACTTATAAAGGAATCAGACATCGATAAAGCAATCTCTTACAATTTTGCAACATTAATGAGGCTCGGCTTCTTCGATGGGAACCCTAGTAAGAAACCTTATGGAAACCTCGGTCCTAAAGATGTGTGCACCCCAGCAAACCAAGAGCTAGCTCTTGATGCTGCTAGACAAGGCATTGTGCTCCTACAGAACACTGCAAAAACTTTGCCATTTTCTGCAACCAAAATCAAGTCAGTTGCTGTTATTGGACCTAATGCCAATGTTACTAAGACAATGATTGGGAATTATGAAGGTAATTCTGCACCATATCAGTCACTATCTAGTTAACTGTAACATTTTCAAAAAAAAAAATCAGTTCATTAGGGAAACTGGATACATTTTAGTCAAATATTTAATTTCAGATCGGATCAAATTTGGATCATCCAATGTTGGATACTGCTCCGGTCTGGGTCATGTCAATTTATTTAGACTTATGTCTGATCCTATTAATTTCCTTGCCATAGGTACTCCATGCAAGTACACAACCCCCCTGCAAGGCCTCGCTGCATATACTTCAACAACTTTCCAAGCCGGCTGCTCCAATGTAGCATGTGCCACCGCTCAAGTTGATGAAGCGAAACAGATTGCATCAACCGCAGATGCTACCATTCTAATTGTGGGTGCCGATCAATCCATTGAAGCAGAGAGTCGAGACAGAGTCGATCTACTCCTTCCAGGACAGCAACCACTACTGGTCTCAGAAGTAGCAAATGTTTCCAAGGGACCTGTGATTCTGGTCATAATGTCTGGTGGTGGTATGGATGTTACCTTTGCCAAGAACAATGACAAAATCAAGAGCATATTGTGGGTAGGTTATCCTGGTGAAGCTGGTGGTGCTGCTATTGCTGATATCATTTTTGGTGCTTACAATCCATGTAAGTCTCCTCATTAGACTTCAAATAGTTACCAAAAACATGAATATTACTAAAGAAATGTGTCTGCAGGTGGAAGACTGCCAATGACATGGTATCCACAATCCTACACAGACGAAGTACCAATGACCAACATGAACATGAGGCCAAACCCTGCAACTGGGTACCCTGGAAGAAGCTACAGATTCTATACTGGAGAAACCGTCTACAATTTTGGTGATGGCTTAAGTTACTCCGACTTCACCCACCACCTTGCAAAGGCACCCACAGAAGTCTCAATCCCCTTGCAAGAAATACATGAATGCCGATCTTCAACCTGCAAGTCAGTTGATGCTGTTGGAGAGCATTGTCAGAACTTAGCATTTGATGTCCACCTGAAAGTCAGGAATAACGGGGCTATGGGAGGAAGGCACACAATTTTTCTCTTCTCATCCCCCCCATCTGTTCACAATTCCCCTCGGAAGCACTTGCTTGGGTTTGAAAAAGTGTTCTTGCATGGGAAGACAGAAAGACTGGTCGTGTTTAAGGTGGACGCCTGCAAACATCTGAGTGTGGTTGATGAGGTAGGCAACCGCAAGGTTGCTTTGGGAGTTCATCAACTCCACATTGGCGACTTGAAATACTCATTCAATGTCAGGATCTAATAAGCTAGCTTAGGTTTTTTCTGCAAGTGTGAAACTACTGGTGATTGTTTTAGAAAACAAAGGAAACAAGGAGAGTTGTTGAATAACAGAATCAAGAAAAGAAAACACAAAAAATAGAAAGAATACAGAATGTAATTGAGAGTGCTTTGTACTTTGTAGGCCTAGGAGATTGGTTTTCAATGAAATTGGGGGAGTCGTAAGGTTCCTCCCATTGATTCCATTGATCAATGGTCAGTTCTACGTAAAGTCGAATGAGTTCTACATTGATATTACATGGTTTCAATTGCTTGTCAATTTCTTTATTAGCAAAAAATCTATAGAAATATTTCGTCAACGCATGCACCTATAACCTTAATGTGCCTAACATTGATTAATTTTATCATTACATAAGCTATAGACTTGTTATAACGGGACAAATTAACGGTTACAAACCAAAAACCAAAAACCAAAAACCAAAAACCAAAATCCAAAACAGATAACCCATCAACCAAATATGACCCTGTCCAAAATCGATCCAAACCATAACCAATCCGAACAATCAATGTACCACTTCTAAGAGGACTAAAGTTTTGTTAAAGCAGTTTATTGCTTTCAGATCAGAGCTCTATCTAAACAAAAGGCAGTATATCCAGTTTCAACTTTCACAAGATTCTGCTCAAAATTTAGCTTTTAACTATTCAAATAAATGCTATCAAACAGAAGAATATTGTGCAGGGGACAAAAAAAATAAAGATAGTTACTCAAACTAGCAGAAGTGATGTACAACAAAGAACTAAGTCGAGATGTGACAATGTCTTCAAGGAAGAAGAGAAGTGCTGAGTACACTTATCAACTCCAGTAGTAATGCAGGGTGAATGCCACCTACCACAATAAATAGCATGGTTTACAGGAACTATTTGTACATGTAGTGTAATAACTTACAGCTTTATACACAATTACAAGAACAATACAAGGAGGCAGAGGAAAACCTTGAATGAATGTGGCAGCAAATAATGCATCACTGACTTTTCACACTTCATATCCCATGCACAGCGTTTTTATTCAGATTTCCTCCGAGGAAGGACATTAAGCCTCCACCATGTACTCTACCCTCTGGAATCAAAAATTCAAAATTGCCCCTTCTGCTATCACCATTGCGTAGTTCGTTCTGTTCACTGACAGCTGTCTGCACTGAATAAGATGAGACCGACTTCATTGACAGGGGCACAAGCACCTCAGGGGGTATGAGATGCTGCCTTTTAGCTGGCCTTCCCAATGATTCTTCACAATCAGAGATGACACTTATTCCAGAAGAAGAATTCTTGTTGTCCAAGCTGCTAGCAATAGTAGAAGAAGTAGAAACAAGACCATGGAAGAGGCCAGGGCCAATCAAGCCTCGCTTGTTTTCTCTTTCCTGAACCATGCTGCTGTGTGCTGCACATAAGCCACTCCTACCCCGAGCAAATTTCTCACATTTTCCGTCACCCCAACTGCAGCGCTTTCCACCCCCGTGAGCTTTGCAGAAGTCCGTGCTCCCTTGGGCACTCTTCCCACAATTCTCAACCTTACATCGCTTCCCACCACCATGTTTGACACAGCAATCAGTGCGACCACGAGCACTCTTTGAACACCCGGGAACAGCACACCTCTTCCCACCTCCATGGGCAACACAGTAGTTCGTGCCCCCATGAACACTCTTAGGGCAGATCCCACCCCCATCAAACATACATCGCTTACCCCCACCATGTCCTTTACATAACGGTGTGCTCCCCTCAGCACCCTTCGTACAGCCAGCAAATATGCATCGTTTTCCTCCTCCATGTGCTTTGCAATACATGGTGCTACCTTGAGCACCCTTTGCACAATTCTGATACTGACAACGCCTTCCACCCCCATGAGAAATGCAAAGACCTGCCCGGCCTTCAGCACTCCTTGTGCATCCTTCCACCTTGCATCTCTTACCTCCACCATGTCGTATACAAAGCCCCGATTTTCCACGTGCTGCTTTAGAGCAACCTCCAGGATACCCACATCGGCGTCCCCCACCATGAGCAATGCAATTGTCTGTTTTTCCCTCAGCACTTTTAGTGCAACCTAAGTGCTGGCATCTCCTTCCTCCTCCATGGGCCTTGCAGTAAGCAGTACGGCTTTCTGCACCCTTATTACAACCAGGTTTCTGGCATCTCTGTCCACCACCATGACCAATGCACAGACCTGATGCTCCCCGAGCTCCTTTTGTACAACCCATAAAACGGCATCTCTTTGCATTATGTGGCCTATTGTCCACAGATGTAAGAGTAGCTGAATGTTCAGATATAGTTCCCATAGTACAACTTGTTGTATTAGAAGGTTCAGAACCCAAATGAGATTGATCAGAAGAAGAATTTGAGCCAAGATCAAAACCATCCCACATCTGTACAGGGGCTGGTCTACAGTCATTTCTAGGAGCCAAAAGAAGAGATGGCATATAACCACCTGATTGCTTTGCAGAAGTAGAGCCCTCATCAGCCACAGGAACATGAGTGGGATTAGCAACAGATACTTGGCTTGTGAACTGATGTGAAGTAAACTCAGTTTGGGTTGATGTCGAAAAGTCCAAAGAACTAAACAAATTTCCAGTTTCTCCAGAAAGCCCCAGTTTCAAGGTCGAATCACCATTGCCTGACAGTCCTTGGAGCGATGATGAAGACGATCCCTTCGATTGTTTATTTTCTGAGTAGGCCCGTGGTGTAGGGCCTAATCCAAGTACAAGTCTGCAACCATCATCGAGAGTCATGGAAGTAAAAGCCCCAGGGTCATTTTGGGCATTATGAAATTGAGAAGTACTGCTCCTTCCATAGCCAAGGCAGTCCAATCGCAAAGAGGTATCACCAAATTTGTCATTTCTAGCAAAGTCATTAGAGCAAGAGAAATACACTCCCTTTTCATTGATATTCATCCTCATCAGCTTAATTTTAAGAACAAAAGAAAACAGTAAACACACTAGCAGTAAATTTCAGCCACAAGCCTCTATAACATTCACAAATAGTAGACCAGTTACAACTAGAGCTTTCAACAAGAAACTTCCACCACTGACAAAACCTGAAGTGTCAGCTCTATCCATGGTATTGACACTGGCAGAGAAATAGCCTACTTCAGGCTATGTTTACAAAAAAAACCCATTACTTAAACCGGCCTGCTCGTTATTTGAAGACATATGACAGGCACTGTGGCAGAGTTACTTCAATTAACCTAGCAGAACAAAAAACCATCCTGAATTAGTAAAGATGACAGTAACAAAGTCAAAAAATAAATAAATAAGTAGAAAAGAGCAACTATAAAATAAATGCCAAGGTCTTATAGCAACTTGCAAGTTAAAGCTTACGAAAGAGACAAATTCACAAAAGAAAGGGATAAAAAGCCATCTGAAAGAGAAGGGCAACATTTAACAGCATTTCCTGATAGCAGGAGCTATAAAACACATGTTGAATAATCAAAATTTTCCTAAATTACTGAAGGCAAATTGTAAGAAACGATGTCCTTCAAATTCACTGACATCAGCCCAAAAAAAAGCACAAGTAAACACAAAAATATAACTAACTGGAATGGCACCAATGGCACCAAGGTGTCAGCCAAGGCCAATTTAGTCCAATAACAACTTTCTTTGTGAAGTTAACCATTTTCTAAATCATTACTCTTGAAATCCTGTTTTAGCTCAAAGCTCTGTAATTCTATATCATGGGATATTCCCTTTATAAAAATAAAAAATAAAAAATAAAACAATAATTTAAAATCAACTAGAATCTGCATACTACTTTCCATTGATAAGAAACTGAACAAGATCCATAGAAGAGGAGCATCATCTGCAATGTTTTCTTCTGCTCTATATTCATATAAACTGAAATAATCATCACAAGATAATAATAGTCAAAAATCATAATTCAAATAAAATTACATACTTTCAGATATAGCACTCTACTGCATTCATATTATATCTCATTCCAATTATTTTACAAGGTAACTACTGGTAGAAAAAAAAAATTCTCATAATTACAACAAGTTTATACATTGGCTATATCTACCAAAAAGAAGTCTCATGTCAAGACAGTTTTTGTCTGCAGGGACATTTCTTTGGACACAGAAAGCACAAGTGAGGAGACATTTATGCCTGAAAACCTTGTATAAAATACTAGATAGTCCATAAATTGTTCATAGTACCACACTCCATACGTGCTATCTCCTAGGAAAAAGATGAACAGAGAGGAAATGGAGGTGGTATAGCCATTTCTATTATAAAAAGTTACACTTGGTTCACATTAACAGGTGTTAGCACAGTGATAGTTACAAGGTAAAGAGTCTATAGACTTTCATTTGATCCTCCCTAAGAAAGTGAAATGATCTCCAATAGATTCCAATTCTTTCTTTAAATTACCATTTTTTTTAATGACGTTTGGTTTTCATTCTTTAACAGTCAATTAATTTTATCATACTCGTATAAGATGTTGTTAGATTTGTCTTAATGTATATATTCATAATATCAACTTTTAATTTTTTTTACTTTGTATTTATTAATTAAACATACTTTAATGGCCAAAATTGTGCATCCGCAAGTGTAAAAATCAAAGTGAAACAACAAATAACTTTAAAGGGAATAGATGATATTCCCTTTGTCTTAAAACGAAAAATATCATTTTTGAGTTTCACCGTCAAGCTTTGTAGTAATGTTATTTTTCTATAATTAGGTCCCAGTTTCTATAATTGTAAATAAAAAGAAGTCAATTAAAAAAACATTTCTTTCATAAAAATATTTCGTATCAGCTTTGACGGATAATATTTACCTTTAATCAGTTAAACTGATAACTCTATACCAAAAAAAATGAGTAAATTTAATTTTAGAACAATAAGAACAGATTTAATTAGCAATTTTTACTTTTAAATGTGATATAAAATATTGGTTAGAAAAGGTTGATTTTAGTTAATAAAAATAGTTTCAAAGAGCAAAAATCATTTTAATAGGTGAAAATAATTATAGTTCAATAACAATGAAAATTACAGGGCTTTATAATAGCAACGTAACAACACTATTATAATGACAAGTTTACATAACAATTATTTCATTTGTTCATCAGATATTTGACTTTTCTGATGAAAAATGGCAACAAGGTGTGGAGTTCAAAGATAAGCTCTCCAAACACAACAAGCCAAGTCCATGAGGGGAACATATATGTAATAAATTCTACAATTCGTCCATTAATCGATAATTCAACTGAGCTATATTAATTCTCAAATGATGAACTAATCTTATAATGTTACAATTTTTTAATCATGTACTCATCATCCTAAAACATATACATAAAGGTATTTTGGGATTTTCATGTACTCATCATCCTAAACAAGCCAAGTCCATGAGGGGAACATAAAGCTAGGCATTTTCAGGTTAAAAAATAGTCAATTTGATCTACTTCCGGAATTTTGTCGACTTACCCTATATTGTTATGAACATAAAGGTCCTCATTAGAAAGAAATTTGAGAACATAACACACAAAAATTTACAGTAACACTTTGACTAACCCAACCATAATTTAATCAGATCCAAATATTAACTTAACCAATTTCACTCAAACATAAAAACACTTGTCATTAACCCACCATAATTACAATCTAACATACCCCAATCCATCAATAATTCAACATTAACACCGCAATTTATTTTCTTATCCGTGAATATAAACTAACTTAGTTGGTTGAAGTCTTACATGTGATACGACCTTGGGATCGAATCTCGTCTACATCACAGATTTTGCAGTTCTCACTACACCCAAAAAAAATAAAAACAAAAAAATAATCTTTTCTCTTACCTAAAAAAATTTCCTAATCAAACATAGATATACCAAATATGTAAAAAAAAAAAACGTCGTAATATTTCAGAACATAGAATCCAAGTACAACCCAGATATTAAAATTAAACAAACTACCAATTTAGAAACTCAAATTTACGAAACAACAGCAAGATTAAACGAATATTAATCGAATAATTAATTAATAGCAAAAGTCAATAAGCTAAATTTCCAAATAAGCAATAAAATAAACACCAAAACAATATAACCCAATATAAAAAAGGAACAAATTCAACAAAGCCCAAAAAATATACACATATTTAATATTAAATCCTCGAAAAAAAAAACAATATTTCGGAAAATTTAGAGGAAAAAATTAAAAGGGGAGCTTCAAAAATAGGAAAGAAAACTAAAAATGGAAAATACCATGAAAGATAGAAAGATTCCCGATCTATGAAAGCGTTGCAGATGATTACAGAAACACCATTGAAGCTGAGAGAAGAGAGAGGAGAGAGAAAATGTGAGAAGAAGAAGAGAGAGAAAGAGAGAGAGTGACAAATGGAGAATAGGTGGAAAATCAACGGAAGCAAATGAATCTTTGCGTTTTTTAGAGATTCTTTCGAGTATAAATTTTGTTTTGTGACAAATATGGGGTGGAATGTGAAATATCGAAAATGCCCTTGTGGGGTTGTAGATGACGCTTTTGATTGGTTGATTGGGACAACGCATACTTTTTTGAGGGAAAGGGACAGTGACAATGGAAATGACTATTATGCCCCTTGACATGTTACGTAATGATATTTTAAGAGTTGGTGATAATCGGCCAATCGGGTCGTTTAAATTAGGTGTGTGTACGTTAATTCGATCAAGTTACTTTCGAATTCAAATAATCAATTATTTGTGTTTGATTTCTATAGTTGGATCGATGTGTTTAGTTAATTTGATCAAATCAACTAAACATTCAGCCTTCAGATATTAGTTACTTTGTAATTTATAATCATGATTGATTTCGAGGTGAGTAAGTATGGGTAAGTCATTATTTCGTAGTTACAAATTGAGTCATAAAATTTTGGGTAAAGTAAAGATTTGGATCTGCCGAAGTATGTTGAGTACGTTGAATAAACGGATACATCTAGGTTTATCAATCTTTGTTTATGGAGTACAAGCTAACGTTACTCTATCTATATCACGATAATGGTTATACTTTACTTTTGGAACTTAAATACAAAATTTTTATATCGAATGTTATTACATTTCATTATTTTAGATATACCAATTTTTAATAACAACTAATATAACTGGCTAAAGTACGTGTGGAACAGGAAACCAGGTTGATTTTACTTCCACATTACAATGTATGGGATACTCCAAATTTAAGTTTTCTGTACACTAAAATAAGGAAGGAGACGTCAATTGAAAGGGTAAAAGTGTAATCTTAGAAAGAGATAGTTAAATGTGGGGAGGTAGTCGTAATCAGGGGTAGAAAATGAAAAGGAATAAGTGGTTAAGATGAGAAGGGATTGTCTGCTTCTTCACAACAAAACAAAATAACAAAAAATAATATTTAAAAAATGCCAAATACAAAGTGGAGTGTGTCTGTGCAAGGTGTGACGCGCGAAAAATCCAAAGAAAGAATGATGAGACTATTTTAGGAATTTACTTTACCAAGAGGTTAGATTCATACACTACATTATTTATGATGTCATCACCTGATTCCACCCACTATTGGTCTATCAGATTCCCTTATTGTCATTTACTCTACCACAATTTCTTTCCTTTCTTTTTTTTACTCCTCCCATTTTATTTTATTTTATGTTTTTTTTAGGGAATCTCCCATTTTATACTAGGGGTGAGCAAAGACTCAGGGTACCCGATATCGGATCCGAAATCGGTTAGGATCCGTCGGGTCCGGACCCGGAACTGGTCTTATCGGTTCCGGAACCGGGTTCAAAATATCGGATCCGGTTGTAACCGGTTCCGGGACCGGATCCTAAAATTTCGGACCCGGTACCCACTGGGTACCCGGTTTAAACCAATTCCAGTTTCGGATACCCGGTCCCGGATCCAGACAAACCGGGTACCCGAAACCGGTACTGATTTAGTTATAAAAATTTAATTTATTTTTTTGAAAAAACCCAACAGCCCATAAGCCCATTTATTCATTTTTCACAGTTTTTAGTCTTTTTACTCTAGGGTTTTCTACTTTTCCTTCCAGCCTCCATCTTCTCTGATTCTCTCTGACTCTCCGTTCTCCTCTCTTTTCTCATCCTCTCTTTTCTCATCTTCTACTCTTCTCTGATTTTCTCGTTCTCTCCTCAAAATCTCATCCTTCCTAAGTTCCTGATTCTCTCGGTCTTCTCTGAATCTCTGCCTTCTCTGGTACCAGACGCCTTCTCCATAAGTCTTTTCTCACTTTTTTCACTTTTTTTTGTTGGATCTTCCTTCGTTTTCACCGAATTGTGAATCCATATATACTGTATTTATTTTTTTCTGGTTAATTGTTTGATTTTGATTCAGATTTATGAATTATTTTGGCTGAATTGCTGCGAATTGGTTGATTATTCTATTTTAATGTAATTTGAGTATGAGAAATGAGTTCGTTCTTGCTTGAATTTATGATCTGTCTAACTGTTATTGCTTGCTTATGGAAAATGCAAATCACTTTTTGGTGATGGTACTTTGAATAAGATCGTGTACCCGGTTTTGGAACCGATTCCTACCGGTTCCGGGGCCAGTTCCAAGAAACTTGGATCCGGTATTAACCGGTTCCGGGACCAGTTCCAATTCTTGGGACCCGGTCATAACCGGTTCCGGATCTGGGTATTGTAAATATGATCGGGTACCCGGTCTTGCTCACCCCTATTTTATACTTTGTCTTTTCTTTTAATTACCCTATTGGGGTGAAGAACGGATCATATTGATTGTATTAATAATTGATTGTATTGATATTAGCTGATTGTATGAAAATATTTGGTAAATAACTTATTTTTAAAAGTTGATTGAGTATGCAAATAACCAATAAGGATATTGACATATTTTATTGTGGTAAAGTATTTGGGTTAAACAGGGATAAAACTGTCATGTCACCTTAAAATATTGGAAGGTTTTTACAGTGGTCATTTGAAATGTGACTACCATATTATTTTAATGATAAACAGTATGATCAGTTCATTTTTTCACATTATAATATGGACACAATTAGTCTTAGTGCAAATATAATTTTTAAAAAACTTAATCTAACATAAAATAAATATTGATCGAGAAACTATAAAATAATAATAAAAATTTACATAAATGAAACTAAAAATTTGATAAATAAAAAAATGTTGATAATACTAATTTAGACTAAAAATAAAGTAATATATATGATTTATTACTAGGAGAAAAATATGTCAATTATGAATTAAAAAATCATTAAAACATTGTGGTAGTCATATTTCAAACGACCACTATATAATTTCATTAAAATATTTGATTAAAGTTGATGAAAAACCTCCTTTGAGCAGCTTATTGAAGATGAGCTTATTTGGCGGAATCAACCCTTTGAATCAACTGACCACCAATCACTCCAATTAACTTATCCATAGTGGTTAAATCAATTAATTTTGCCCTAATAAGCTCTCCATGCCACTAAATACCCTCTTGTAGTTTTGGTCGAGGGGAGTTGATGAAATAATATAGTGGCCTGGTGGAATCAATAACAAGAGTTGTGAGAGGAAAAGTTGTAATCCCCTAAAACTATTTGTAGCATAAGGCAAACCAAGTGAACCAACTAAAAGGGAAAATAGTATAATCATTAAGGGACGACGCATGGAGTCATTATTACTTGCCTAAATGGATTTTTTTCCAAACTAAACCTTGTTGGCAAAATATTTTGCAAAGTGGATGCGTGGCAAAACTATTTTACCAAACTAAGCTTGTGGGGTAAAACGCTGTCTCGGACAGCGTTTTTACTTGTTGACTTTTTTAATGTGATTTTCTTAATTTCTGGTTTTAAAAAATAAAAAAAATATATAAAAAATTCAAATAAACATAAGACGCTGTCCGAGACAGCGTTTTATGTACAATTTTTTTTTGTACATAAAACGCTGTCCCAGACAGCGTTTCATGTACAATTTTTTTTGTACATAAAACGCTGTCTTAGACAGCGTTTCATGCGGGCATACTATGCCAGCTTCTGCTCTCTGCCAATTTCCCTCACTCAATCTCTCTCTAACACAAAGCAAAAACGTGTCCTTCAGGCCGCCACCCCCACCGCCGTCTCCCTCCGACCACCGCCTGCCGACGAACGGTCGCCGACAGCCCCGACGACGTAGCCTCACATCACCCCGATTTTGGTGCTTGCCCTATCTCTCTTTGGTTTTTAAAATCTAGGGTTTTTTTTATTGGTTTTTTTTTTTTTTGGAATTGTGGTTAAAATCTTGATAATGTTGAATTGTTAGTGTTGATAATGTTGAATTGTTAGTGTTGATAATTGTTGGTAATGTTGAATTGTTAGTGTAGAAAATTGTTGGAAATGTTGAATTGTTAGTGTAGATAATGTTGATAATTGTTGATAATGGTTGATAATGGTTGATAATTGTTAGTTTTTGAGTGATTGTGATAACCTACATTGTTGTTTATTAATGTTGATTTAGTGCTTCTAAGTTGTGTTAATTTGAAAAGTATGTACATTGTTGTTTAATTATGGCGATTTAGGTATGATTTAGTGCCTATAAGTGTAATGTGTTTTGGTTGTTATGTAGAATATGGCTGCACAAAATGTTGTGTTGTTATGCCGGTGGGGAGGTGAAATTCTATTCGATGGACCCCGCGTCGAGTATAGTGGAGGAAATATGGAACCACTAACACTTGAACCGAACATGACTTTCAATGATTTGACGAACGAGATTCATAGTAGTATTGGTTCAAACCCAAGGAATGTTAAACTAAACATTAAAATGAGGTTTGAGACTGGCAATGGGGTTCAAGTGTTACCTGTTTGTATGAATAAACATTTGAAAGCTTTGAGGAGCGTTGTTGCAATGAAGGATGTTCCCACTGAGATATATGTAGAATGGTGCCTATATGTATCCAACAAAGTACTCGGCCAGAACAACAATCTACATATATTTCCAGTCACAACACAGAGTCCTTCCAAGTGCCCTCACACGACATTCCATCGAATGAATATGGGATGGGATCTTTCAGTGGAATGCTGCACGATGATCAATTTAACATGACGTTTATTTCTCATATAGCTTCACCTGTACATGGGGGGCATATGTGACAATGTTCGGCCAACCTGGTCCTTCGACATCAAACACCGTCACACCTTCAACGATGCAATTGCGTAGTTATTCGCCTATGCAAGATGATGTTCAAGCATCACCATCTCAACTTGTGCCAAATCATCTTGACACTATTGTGAATAACGAATTGTCTGTGTATGATGTGTATGCGGAAACAAATGATGAGGCCGAGAGCGGAGAGGAGGAAGATGGACTTCAGAACATGGATTTTGAATCTGCACACATGGAAGTTGGCGAGCCCATGGTTAGAACTCCCGTACCTTGGTTTAGTCAGATAAACGAGAACTATGAAGTTGATCAGTATTGGGCCAAATCGGGTTGCCATAC